CCCGTTGTAACGGGAAATATGATCTGACCTCAAGTATATGACCAAGATCGTGAATAAGAACATGTGACTTGAAAATAGGCCTAGGACCTTTAATATTCAATGGTCGCCATGTGAGATAGCATTTAACAAATGCTATTTCGGGTTTGAATCGAGGCAAAGCATAGATATTGAATAATATAAGTAAAATTCATAGTCACGTAAATAAGTATTGTGAGCCATAGATTCAGACAATAGGAACCTGGTCTCGAACCAATCTTCTTTGCTTTTCAAGTAGGCTTCACTGCGTTTTATGTTTTTGTCGTGTTTTGGTTATAGAGTCGTGGTGATCCGAAACTGACCGTCACATTTTGTTAAAGGTATGAGACTACTTGATATATAGTGATATTAATTTATCCAACCAAATTACCAAAGCATACAGTGTAACGAATTAAATTTTTTATTTTTCATCTTATTGTAAATAGAATCTTTATTTTTTCGATAAAACCTCCGCATGTACATAGTTTTTTAGTAATTCCCCATCCATTCTGGTAACAATGTCCAATTTTAATATATTTATTAATTCCTTTTGATTATTTCATAACTTATACTAAAATGGTGTGGCTTAATGGCTAAGCTCCATGGAAATCAGATGAATTACATAAACACTGACAAAATCGCGTATATGTGATTACACAAAGACTGTGCCTTACGACTTTCGGTGTATACGTTATTTTTATGTTAATTATCACTAAATAATAAAGTATATACTTATCTGAATTTCCCTTGAGAATTTGTCTTTGAATTCGACTTGTAACTCTAATAAACCCTTTTGAGACTCAATTCAACGAACTGAATTGACTTGTAACTTCGATTTGGCTTATTAAGACTCAGATTCTAGAATGTTTGTGGAATCAGATATTGCCACTCACATTAGTGCCTTGCAGGAATTGTGGTAGAGAACGATACCTACGATTGGTTATTTGACCCTGTTAACCATCACGTGGACTTAAGTTATCACAGACATCAATTTATTATCGTCCGTTTTTACCTCATCCTCCTTACTGAAATATCTCTAACAGCATCATCTGTAGTTGCTTTACCTCATTATCACCCCTTTTAATATTAAAGCCTTCGTTTCATAGTGTTATATTGTCTCAATAGTTCTCCGATAGTTATAAACAACTCCCTTTGTTTCTCCAAGTTTATCATTCTCTCTGTACACCGTTGGTCCTTGCATCTATATTATTTCCTTAAGCTCTCCTATCAACGGTTACAACAGATATTAAAATGAATGTTTATACAGATATATATGCTGTGCGTCAAATTAGAATCTGCGTCAGCTTAAAAACATTATAATTCCACTAATACTGACATAGGCACCCACCTAATCCTAATAAAATCTCTACTATTGAAGCCATGAACATACACTGCTGAAATGATAAATCCACTTACCGTGAAACCACAAATCTGCACTACTGAAACCAATAAACTCACACTGCTGAAATAATGAACACGCACAGATTTGAAAAAGGAAAAGCAATTTCGCAAGAGTTGTTGTTCACTTTCCTGAAGTCTATTTTTCTGAAATACCAATTCACCAAAGTCGTAATACTAACAATCCATTTTACTAACAGGACAGAAATAGGCCTGTGCCATTTCACCGAATATTATAACGAATTAAAAGTTTACTTTCTTTATTTTACTCTAAACTTATATTTTAGTCGGTACCTTTTCTGTTTGTAAATAATTTATTTGTGTCACCCATCCATTTTGATAATAATGTCCAATTTTTTTGAAAGCCTGTCAAAGAAGTGACAGGGCAATCATTATTGTGAGATCAGATAGCTTTATGGGATCACATGTTCACGTTGTCTTTTATGGAATTTGTTAAGATACAGGTATTTTCTGGTTAATATGATGATTGATAAGATATGAATTACTGAGAATAGGAACCCCTGTAGATCACACCCAAAAAATTTCCTGGCACATGACTAAGCCACTTCACTAATTTCTGTGAGATATAATTAACGTTCATGTCAATGTTGACCTTAACATTTACGTCAACGTTCATATTAATGTTGATCTTAACGTTCATGTCAACATTGACCTCAACATTTCTTAATGTTCACTTAAGGTAAATTAGTTTTTAAAATAACATTTTTATAATAATTTTAATATATAACATTTTTATAATAATTTTAATAATAATTACTCTTAATTAGTTAACATGTGATGACATCAACATTCATATTAATGTTGACCTGAATGTTGACCTCAATGTTGACGTGAACGTTGACATGAATGTTAAGGTCAACATTGAGGTGAACGTTGAGGTGAATGTTAAGGTCAATGTTGAGGTGAACATTCACATCAACGTTCACCTCAATGTTGACCTTAACATTCATGCCAACATTGACCTCAACATTGATCTTGACATAAATGTTAAGGTCAATGTTGAGGTGAATGTTGACGTAAACTTTAAGGTCAATGTTGAGATGAACATTTACATCAACGTTCACCTCAACATTGACCTTAATGTTCACGCCAACATTCACGCCAATGTTGACCTCAACATTGACCTCAATGTTGACCTTAATGTTCACCTTGAACATTTACCTCAACATTGACCTTAATGTTCACATCAACATTGACCTCAATATTGACCTTAACATTCATATCAATATTGACCTCAACATTGACCTTAACATTCATGTCAACGTTGACCTCAACGTTGACCTTAACGTTCATGTCAACATTGACCTCAATGTTTACATCAATGTTGACCTCAACATTGACCTTAACATTCACCTTAAACATTCACCTCATCAAAAAAATACTATTCATTTTATATTTATTTAACTTTTTTTTTAATAATTTTATTATTATAATTAAATCATATACAAAATTATCTAATATACAAAAGAATGGCGAAAAAATAACAAAAAAGCACTGAAAAAATGTCAAAAGAAGCACCGAAAATATGTAAAAAAAAAAACACCAAAAGAATGTTGAAGAATGTTGAAAGAAGCACTGAGAAAACGTTGAAAAAGCATCAAAAAACGTCAAAAGAAGCACCAAAAAAACGTCAAAAAAAACACTGAAAGAACGCAAAAAAAAAGTACTGAACAAACATCAAAAAACACTGAAAGAATGACAAAAGAAGCACCAAAAGAATGACAAAAAAGCACTGAAGGAATGATGAAAAAAGCACCAAAGGAATGACAAAAAAGACACTGACTAAAAGAATGATGAAAAAAGCACTGAAAGAATGTTAAGAAAAAACACCAAAGAAACAATAAAAGATGCCAAAAGAATGTTGAAAAAATGACGTAAAAAGTGTGAAAAAAACAATGTAAAAATTATTGAAAAAATGCATAAAAAGCAACAAAAAAAAAAAACATACTGAAGAAACGACATAAGAGGCATCGAAAGAAGGTCATAAATGTCACCAAAAAGAACATAGTAAAGGTCACCGAAAGAACTTGTAAAAAGCACCCAAAAAAGCATCATAAAAAGAACAGAAAAAAATGAAAAAAACATTTAGTTGATCGTGTTTAATATAAAATGTGATGTGGCGTAATGTAATGGTAATCACGTGCTGGAAAAAATTTTGGAGGTTAATTACTAGATATGAGAATAGGGAGGTAATCATATGATTGTGAGTATGTAATTAGTAATATATTTAAGAGCTTTTGGTTAGCAGAGTAGGTTATCTTTCATTTCGCTATCGCTCGCAGGCTGGCTTTATCATCCCACCCCTCCCACCTGTCTCTCAGTAACTCGTAAACTAAAGGCAATATATTACACTCATTTAGGAAGCTTTTGGTGGGTGCTGTTAGGCTCTGTGGCTTTCACTGGTAGCAAAGAAACCCACATAAATGCGACCGTGAGGGTGTAAACACAGCCGTTTGAACCAGTTACAATCACCTACTCGCATAATCACAAGAAAATGACTAAGGAATGGGTGTGTAAACATCCCAGTGGTGGTGTAGACACTCCCGTAGTCATGTAAACGCATCCAAAATCTAAAATATATTTAAAGAACAACCATACTAAGTAATAAAGATAACCTTTCCAACTTCCCATTTCATCATTGATGTCAGTTTTCTTTTCCATCATTAAATAAATAAACCTCTCATTTTATTTCTGATTAAATAAATACATATCTGAATATCCCTTTGTGTATTGTTTTGGAATTCGACTGTAATTTTAATAAACCAATTCGAGACTCAATTCGACGGAATGAATTGATTTGTAACTTCGATTCGGCTTATTAAGACTCAGATTCTGGAACGTTTGTGGAATAAGATATTGTTATTTACGAGACTTATGTTCAATTATTAAACTTGGTTAATCCCGTAAAGTTACATCGAAATGTGTGTCAGGTTTGTGGCGCAGCAAAATTTCTTTAAAGTACTGTACGTTAATGTTAGGGTTAGCATTTAGAATAAAATTAAGGTTGGGTGGAAATCTAGCAAAATCGCTCGAGAAAAACTTTTTGTTAGAGCACTAAAACCGGTTCTTATACAAATTTTCAAGAAATAGGCGATTTTTGACTAAGCGAACGTTTGTTTTGAATCTTTCGAATCATGTTACATTATGAAATCTGATTCGAAGTTTAGGCAATACGCGCCACAGTTGCGCCACAAACCTGACACACATTCCCGATATCTTTTTTTTAAATTATTACAAGAATAATAAAAAATAATGCAAAGATCTTTGGTATCAATGTCATCATATATTGTATATAATTTTAAAAGAAATACTTAATAAATCATATACAATAGATCTTTATATGCATTTCTATAGAGACCAAACTTTTAATAATATGCATTTAGAAAATATGAAAAATGTATTTATAGGGATCAATTATATTTTATCCAGAACTTGAGTGCGCATTTAAAGAGATAGTGATTTAAATATTATAAAAACTCTTTTCTGTATATTCTGTATATTCTGTATATGTCGAGCCAGGAGTTGCAATAGAATGACGATTATCGTGAGAACGAATTTTTTTATAAATGAAAAATCCTGCAACCCCTATGAGAATAAGGGCAACAAATACACCTATACCAATACCAATCTTTGCACCCAATGAAATTGAATCGATTGGATCTTTATTATCGTCAGGGTTTGTTCCATATATGTTTGATGCATCAAAAGTGTTAACCCATGTATAATTTTGTGTATTAAAGATATATATATTATTATTTAATATCAGCGATGAACCTGAAGGAACAACATAGCCTAAATATAGAATAAAATTAAATCTAAAATTAGAAACCTTATCAAAAATTAGTACTTCAAACGGATTATAATAAAATTTTAATGAATTGTAGTCCACAAAGTTTTTTATTATTCGGATTAATCCAGAATGTTAATTAAACCATTTTAAATTCAGATAAAAAATATTATATTTACCAAATGCAACAATCATATATATTCCATATAAGATTGCTGAATGAGCCGCAAGTGCTTGTGGCGCTTTATTTGTATTTACATTTAACAGTGCAACATCAGGTTGTGGCTGATTGCCACCGACTCCTCGTCCACCATAAATAACAATAA